TCCGGTCGTGGGGCCTGAACTCTGGGCCTGGGCGCTGTCCCTCAGCTCTTCAGCTCAAGGCTAGCACTCTACCACTTGAGCCACAGGGCCACTTCTGACTTTTTTCTTTTTGCTTATGTGGTGCTAAGGAATCGAACCCAGGGCCTCATGTATGCAAAGCAAGCGCTCTACGACTGAGCCACCTTCCCAGCCCCTAGAACAGTTTTGAATAATAGGTGAGCCTGGCAGCTACAGTTCTCAATAGTCTGACACTAACTCAGTTTCCCCAAAGCAGTACTAGCTAAACAGCCTTTTCTGGGTGCTGGTGGTTCTCACCTGTAATCCTAGATACTCAGGAGGCTGAGATCTGAGGATCATAGTTCAAAGCCAGCCCAGGCAGGAAAGTCTGTGTGACTCTTCAATTAGCCACCAGAAAATCGGAAGCGGTACTGTGGCGCAAAATGGTAGACTGCTAGCGCCAAAGAGCTCAGGGACAGCGCCCAGGCTGAGTTCAAACCCCATGGCCAGCAAAAAAAATGTATGTAAAGCTTCTGCTCTGGGGAGAGTGCCAGCTGTGGCAGGTGGTCCTGAGTCCTTCCCCCTCACCCATGTGTGTGTGCGCCTAGCTCATGGTCATGTCATCTTCTAGGCACTGAGAACACCCAGCCAGAGCGACCGCGAGAAAAAGAAGAGGCCGTAGTTCGAGAGCCCAGCGAGGCGGTCGAGTGCCACCTGGGTGACATGCTACAGCAGCTGCACAGCGTCAATGCATCTAAGCCCTCTGAGCGAGGCCTGGTGAGACAAGGTGAGACAAGGTGGGAGAGTCCGAGCAGTGGCCATGGGCCTGGGCGAGTATCTGGAGAAGCCAGGGCGAGTCTCACCGTCTGTGCTGGCTTGCTTGGCTCTGCCTCTTCCTCTCTGTACACTAGTGCCTTTGGTTCCCATTTCTCGGAGGCCAAAGTCCAAAATGAGTCAGTCTGACTTCCTAGGTCCTCCATGGTGGGGCTCCTGTCTTTGTCTTCTGTGTCTCTTCTTGCTCTACAGGGACTAATTCTCTGGGTGGGTGACATACCAGCACTTTATGTTAACACCCTGGGTCTTTCTTGTTTTCTTTTTTTTGGGGGGTTGGGGGGTGGGAGGACAGTCCTGGGGCTTGAACTGAGGATCTTGGTGCTGTCACCGAGTTTCTTCTGCTCAAGGTTAGCGCTCTACTACATGAGCCACAATGTCACTCTGGCTTTCTCTGAGTAGTTTATTGGAGGAAAGAGTCTCCTGGACTTTCTTGCCTGGACTGGCTTGGAACCGTGATCCTCAGATCTCAGCCTCCTGAGTAGCTAGGATGACAGGCGTGAGCCACCGGCCCCTTGGTTGCTTTGTAGTTCTTGGTGACACTTCCCACCCCAACAGGCCTTCAGCTTTTTGTCTTCTGTTTAGTGTCCCTGAAATGAGGGATTTACTGGTGCACTGAGCCTAGTGTTTGGTGTTTTGGAGCTGTCAGTTGGTAGATTGTCTCTTAATCTCTTGTGATGGAGTCTGCCAGCCCGATTCATACCATTTGAAGCTATTGTCTGCCAAGACTGGCCCCTTGATTGGTTTCATTAATCTTTGTCCCTCTTGTCATGCAGAGGGATTTTATTAAGCGGCAACCAAAGACAGGAGTGGGTGGCATTTGGTGCACTGTATGGAGAGTTTTCACTGTGACTTGGGGCTTGTGGTTATCAGATGCCCTGCTGTTCTCTTCCTGTTCTTCCCTGAGTCCCAGGTCTCCTGGGAAGCCCGGGGTGTGGGTGCAGCCAGCTTCAGAGAGGAAATGGCTGGTGCTGACCCATCTGCTGTCTTGCTTGTGTCACAGAGGAGGCCGAGGACCCTGCCTGCATTCCAATCTTCTGGGTCAGCAAGTGGGTTGACTATTCGGATAAGTATGGCCTTGGTAAGTTCCTTCCAGAATGCAGGAGCAGCTCAGCTGGGGTCATGTGTCCCTTGCAACTGTTGTAAGCATTGGCCTTCCTGTGATCCTGGGTCCTCTTTTTTGTTTTTTGTTTTTGGTTGGTTGTGGGGTTTGAACTTAGTGCCTGGCCTGTGTGTTGTCCAGAGCTCTTTCACTAAAGCTAGCACTCTACCACTTGGAGCCACAGCTCCACTTCCAGTTTTTTGGTGGTAAATTAGAGATAAAAGTCTCACAGACTTTTCTGCCTGGGCTGGCTTTGAATCAATATCCTCAGATCTCAGCATTCTTTTTTTTTTGTTTTTTGTTTTTTCCCACCCAATCCTCCTCCCCCACCAGATCTCAGCATTCTTAGTAGTTAGGATTATAGATGTGAGCCACCAGCCCCTGGCTGTGGGTCTCCCTCCTTCCTTCCTTTTCTCTCTTTTTCTTTTCTTTTTATTTTTTCCCTTCTTCCCTCCCTCCCTCCCTCCATTTCTTCCTTCCTTCCTTCCTTCCATCTTTCTCTCCTTCCCTTCCTTTTTCCCTCCATCCCTCCCCCCCTCCCCCTTTCTTTCTCTCCCTTTCTTTCTCTCCCTTTCTTTCCCTTCCTTCCTTCCTTCCTTCCTTCCTTCCTTCCTTCCTTCCTTCCTCTTTCTCTCTTTCTTTCTTTCTTTCTTTCTCTCTCTCTCTCTTTCTCTCTTTCTTTTCTTCTTTCTTGTGCCAGTCTTGGAACTTGAACTCGGCCTGAGTACTGTCCCTGAACTTTTGTGCTCAAAGTTGGCACTCTACCACTTGATCCACAGCTCCATTTGCAACTTTTTGGTGGTTGATTAGTCTCAAGGACTTTCTTGCCCTGGCTGTCTTCAAACGGCGATCCTCAGATCCCAGCCTCCTGAGTAGCTAGGCTTACAGGCCTGAGCCAGCAGCCCCAGATTCTCTTCTGTCAGCCCTTCTGTCTCCTCTATTTCAGACCCCCCCTGCCCCCGCTGCCTGCCCCTTCCCCGCCCTTCTGAGGTCTCTCTCCCCTGGCCCTTAGGGTACCAGCTGTGCGACAACAGTGTGGGGGTGCTGTTCAATGACTCCACTCGCCTCATCCTTTATGATGATGGGGAGAGCCTGCAGTACATAGAGCGTGACGGCACCGAGTCCTACCTCACCGTGAATTCTCACCCCAACTCCTTGACCAAGAAGGTAGGCTGAGCGATCGGCTGTCCTCGAAGAGGAGGTGAGGGGTGGCTTGTGCCGGGGATCAGGCCCTCCTTCCTTCTGCGATCCTGTTCCTCCCCCTCCTTGCTCTTTGCCCTCAGATCACCCTCCTGAAGTATTTCCGCAACTACATGAGCGAGCACCTGCTGAAGGCAGGTGCCAACATCACTCCTCGGGAGGGCGACGAGCTGGCTCGGCTGCCATACCTGCGCACCTGGTTCCGCACACGCAGCGCCATCATCCTGCATCTCAGCAACGGCACTGTGCAGATCAACTTCTTCCAGGTGGGCTGGGCACGGGCGCAGGGTATGGCGGGGGAGGCTTGGGGTCCTCATCCCTGTCTCGGATGGCAGCAGCAGCAGGAAATACGGGAAGTGGGCACACACCCCGGCCCCACTGTGTGTGTAGGGAATCTTCCTCCCGCTATGTGTCCTCCTCCCTCCGCCCCGCATTATCAGCAGTTGGGAACCTTCCATCTCCCCGCTTGCCTCTCCAGGATCACACAAAACTCATCCTGTGCCCTCTGATGGCTGCGGTGACCTACATCGACGAGAAGCGGGACTTCCGCACGTACCGTCTGAGCCTGCTGGAGGAACACGGCTGCTGCAAGGAGCTGGCCAGCCGGCTGCGTTACGCCCGGACCATGGTGGACAAGCTGTTGAGCTCCCGCTCAGCCTGCAACCGCCTCAAGGCCTCCTCCTAGACCCCTGCCTCAGGACTGGTACCCCTCTGCCTCTCGGCCCACACTGGGCTTGCCCTGCTTGGGGCCTCGTGGCAGGTTGGAGCTGTTTGTAAGTTATTTGTACATGTTGGGGGGGGGTGTGATCGCTCCACGCTGTGTGATCGCTCCACGCTGTGTGATCTGTACAGAGTATATTTCTATTGAATTTGGGACTTTTTTTTTTTCTTCCTTGGCTTTATACATATTAAACATTTATGAGTTGTTTTTTTCCCTCCCTGGCCCCACCCCCACCATCTTGTGCTGGCTCAGGGCCGAGCCTTTAGGGCAGGCCCTGCCTTAGCAGGTGCTGCTTGGTCTTGGCGGATGCTGTGGCCAGCCTTAGCTGTCCACCTCTGTGGCTCCCGGCTCCCCCAGGTTCTCCTGGCCCCTGGTGGGGCTCCGTGGCCTCTGACATGGGCGGGTAGTAAGGCAGGAAGAGGCTCTCGGGGGCACAGCTCCTCATGGCACGGTGGGTGTGGAGAAGCAGCCTGGGGAAGCGCTGGGTGAAGTACTTCACGAAGCTTTCGGGGACCGGGCCTAAAGCCTGCCGCACGGCCGCGGGCAGCTCTCTATAGTGGTGCTTCTGGGAGATAGGCAGAGCAGGGAGCCTGTCTTAGCTGTGGTAGGTTCCCTTGAGATCCAGCACCCCTCACATCCCCCCCCCAAAAAAAAAAACAACAAACATACCTTGTTCCTTATGGCACGGAGCAGATCTCGCACTAATGTCCCTTTATAGGACCGGAAGCGTCGCAGATCTGTGGACAAATTGGCTGCCCAGAGATGCCCTAGCTGGGCTCCCTCAGCTCCCTGCCCCCCCATGCCCACTCCCAGCCTGGTCTCTATCTACCTGCCTGTAGCGGGGCAGAGATGTGCTGGTGCCAGTTGTCCCGGACCACCGTGTGGCCTCCCGCCTCCAGTGCCATCACCAGCGGCCCCTGCTCGGGCTCCTTCTCTAGCCAGTCGCTGACGTCCTAGGACCCCCAAAGGCCCAAGTGTGTTGTGTGGCATCAGGGTGGTTTGGGGTGACGGGGATGGCTTTCTCTGCCTTGCCTCCAGTGATCCCTCCTCCCCCAAGAGGAAGTACCCCAATCTCCCTTATACTCAGGAGCAGGCCGAGGCTCCGCGCACAGTCTGTCTCTTATTAAAGGTCACACTACACTGCATGAATGATGATGCAGGTAGTAAGGAATGGTCTGCATCTCCCACCCAGTTGGCTTTAGGGAAGCTGCCCAGGGTCCAGGATAGGCCAGGGTGGCGGTGTTTAGGTGTCCACACCCCGGGCTCAGACAAGAAGCCTGGTTTTATCCCCACTCTGTGTGTACACTGGTTGTGGGGCTTGAACTCAAGGCCTGGATGCTGTCTCTGGGCTTTTTTTGCTCAAAGCTAGTGCTCTACTTCTAACATTTTGGTGCTTAATTGGAGATAAGAATAACCCAGACAGGCTTTGAACCCCGATCCTCAGATCTCAGCCTCCTGAGTAGCTAGGATTATAGGTGTGAGTCCCTGGTCCCCCAGCCACTCTCTTAACTTGTTTTTCCGTGTTACTCAGGACCGAAACTTGGGACTTTGGGGGTGGGGTGAGCTCTTCCCAGGATCCCCCTCTGACCTGGAAGAACTGGAGCTGTTTGGCTCTACTCCAAAAGAGAGGGTGGGCCAGCACGTGGGGAGCGGAGGGCCGGGCCTGGGGCAGCGGACTCAGCATGGCACACACCAGGTCTCGGGCCATGACCCCATCTGGAAGGTAGAACAGGGGTGGCTCAGCCTCTCTGGCTTTCCACCCTTTTTCCTCCCTGCTCTGCTGGGTGCCCAGCTCTCCCTCACCATGTATCTCTTCTTCTAGGTGAGCCAGGCAGGGGGCCCCTTTGAGGATGTTGGCTTGGCGGTAGAGACTCTGTCCAAAGGGGTGATTGCCTCCAGAAAGCACGTAATAGAACACACACCCTGACGAGAAGATGTCCACGGCGCTGGTCTGTGGGGAGAGATAGCTGTGAGAAGTCTGGCTGTCTAGGGAGTGGGTTTCAACTAGAACTCATCAACGATGCCTCTCTGGGTGTCTCTGGGCTCCAGACTCACTTCCTAACTTCTGGTCTAGGCTGTGTGTGTGTGTGTGTGTGTGTGTGTGTGTGTACGCACGCGTGCACATGTGTGCCAGTACTGGGGCTTGAACTCAGGACCTGACACTATCCCTGAGTATTTGTGCTCAAGGCTAGGGCTCTACCACTTGAGCCACAACTCCACTTCTGGCTTTCTTGGTAGTTAACTGGAGATTAGAATCTCACTGACTTTCCTTCCCAGTCTGGCTTTGAACCATGATCCTTAGATCTTAGCCTCCCAAGTAGCTAGGATTATGGATGTGAGCCTCCTGCTACTTAGCAAACCCAGATTTCCCTAATGTGAAAATACCTGTGCTGACTTTAGAAAACTCAGTACAGGCTTATCATCCCATCAATGTATGTAGTCCTTAAGTTTCTAGGCAAACACTTGGAGCTTTCTCTCTTTGAGGGAGGGGAGGGTGTGGGGGTAAAGGAGCTGGTTCTGGAGCTTGAACTTGGCCCTGGGTGCTGGCTCAACATTTTTACCTAAGGCTGGTATATTATCATTTAAGCCACAACCTGGGCTGGCTTTGAACTGCTCAGTGGAATGGCTTGGCCTAGCGACTGTTTCTGTTAGTCGTCTGTGACTAACTTGACTTCAACTTATGTCACACACACACACACACACACACGTATTTGACGAATTTCACACACACACACACACACGAATTTGATGAATTTCACACACACACACACACGAATTTGATGAATTTCACACACACACACACACGAATTTGATGAATTTGTCATCCTGGGATCTCTGGACCATGCTGCCCTGGATTCCAGCCACATAAGCACAGTTTAGCTTATACTCCCCAGAGCCCTATCAATCTGTGAGTTTGACCCTCGCTCCTACAAGGACCTGGTATCATTTCTTGTGTGTCTGCGAGTCCTGGGGCTTGAACTCAAGGCATAGGTGCTGTCCCTGAGCTCCTGTACTCAAGACTAGTGCTCTGCCCTTTGAGCCACATGCCCACTTCTGGCTTTTTTGGCAGTTAATTGGAGATGAGAGTCTCTGGGACTTTTCCTGCCTGGACTAGCTTTGAACCGAGATCTTCAAATCTTTTTTTTTTTTGGGGGGGGGTCCGGTCGTGGAGCCTGAACTCTGGGCCTGGGCGCTGTCCCACAGCTCTTCAGCTCAAGGCTAGAGCTCTACCACTTGAGCCACAGCACCACTTCCAGCTTTTTTCTTTTTGCTTATGTGGTGCTGAGGAATGGAACCCAGGGCCTCAGGCATGCAAGGCAAGCACTCTACCACTGAATCACCTTTGCAGCCTGAGATCTTCAAATCTTAACCTCCTGAGTAGCTAGGATTATAGGCACAAGTCATGGACACCTGGCCATTTTTAAATTTTTTTTTTTAATGAGTCAGTCTCTCACTAGATAGCCCAGGCCTCAAACTGTGAGCCTCCTGTCTCAACCTCCCTAAATGCTAGGATCACAGATGTGTGCCACCATGCCTCGCTTCTCTCCCCTACTTTCTCCATGATGGGTGGAATGAGATTAAAGATCCTTTTGTAAGCCAGATCAGCCCTGGGACCTACAAGGTGGAGCAGCATTCCCGGCCCTGCTCCTGAAGCATCTCCTTCCCAAAAAACTGCCTGCAGATATTATCTAATGTCCCCTGGGCTACAAAATAGTCCCTGAATGGAAACTGCTCCTCTAGGTGAGGACTGAGTCATCCTCTGTGGGTTTTTTTTCCCCCCTGTACTAGGACTTAAACTCAGAGCCAGGATGCTGTCCCTGAGCTCTTTAGCTCAAGGCTAGCACTCTACCACTTGAGCCACAGCTCCACTTCCAGCTTTTTGATATTAATTGGAGATAAGAGTGTCACAGACTTTCCTGCCTAGGTTGGCTTCAAAACTGTGATCCTCAGATCTCAGCCTGCTGAGTAGCTGGGATTACAGGCATGAGTCACAGACTGGTGACTGGCTCTCCTCTCTGTATGGGTGGAAAATAGCCTTGGAGAGTGACTCCCCGCTACCCACATGGATTGGGACCAAGGCAGGAAGGAGCTCCCAGTCCAGGGAGAGATGGGAAGGCTTACTGGGCTGTCGGGAGGCGGGAGCTGCAGGAGCTCGGGTGCCATCCAACCTTCTGTGCCAGGAATGCCAGAGCGGAGGCTGAAACTGTACCGGCCTGCAGGCAGCTTCTTGCAGAGGCCGAAGTCTGACAGGACCACCCTGCCGTGGCCCTGGCTGTCAGGCCCCGTGATGAGGATGTTGCCTGGCTTCAGGTCGCGGTGCACTATGGAGGAAGAGTAGAGAGTTCCAGCTGTGCAGGGGACAGGGACTAGAGGGCAGGGGCCCAGGGGCAGGGCAGTGAGTACCTATGTGCAGGGAATGGAGATGGGCTAGGCCAGACATCATCTGCTGAAGTACCGTCTTGGGCTCCAGACCCCAGCTGCCCGGGCTGGCTTTCTCCACATACTGGAAAGCAGTCAAGGATGAAGTGTTATTATTTGGTCCAAGGCCTGCTTCCCATTCCCCCCCACCCCAGAGCCCTAACTGACCTCCTGCAGGGAGGCCTGGCAGAGCTCCAGGGCGATGTAATGGAACTGGGGCCCCCGTTCGGTGCAGAAGTAGCGAAGGACATTGGGGTGCCTGTCAGACTCTTGAAGGAGCTGGACTTCTCGTTGAACCAGGCTAAAGCATTCCCGAAGGAGTCGCTTCACAGCCACGGCCCGCCCCTCAAACTGTCCCCTGTGTGTGGGGGGAGACAAGGGATAGGGGTACAGAGATGATAAAAATGGAGTCAGACCATGAGTGGCTCATGCCCATAATCCAGCTACTCAGACAGTTGAGATCTGAGGATCAAAGTTTGTAGCCAGTCCTGGGAGGAAAGTCTGAGACTTTTTTTTTTTGTTTGGTGCTGGTCCTGGGGCTTAAATTCACAGCCTGGGCGCTGTCCCTGAGCTTCTTTTGCTCAAGGCTAGCACTCTACCACTTGAGCCACAGCACCACTTCCAGCCTTTTCTGTGTATATAGTACTGAAGAATCGAACCCAGGGCTTCATGCATGCTAGGCAAGCACTCTACCACTAAGCCACCTTCCCAGCCCCTCTACCACTTAATCTACTACAGTTTCACTTCAGGCTTATTTTTTGGATAGTTTTTTAGTGGAGATAAGAGTCTCACAGACTTTCCTGTCCAGAATGGCTTCAAACCTTGATCCTCAGATCTGTGAAGCTAGGATTACAGGTATAAACCACTGGGTCCCAGCAAGTCTGAGACTCATACAATTAACCAGAAAAAAAAGCCAGAAGTAGAGGTGTTGCTTAAATGGTACAGCACCAGCCTGGAATGAAAACCAAAGGGACTGAGCACCCAGGCCCTTGAGTTCAATCCTCAGTAGTATCCAGCACACAAAAGTGGGAAGTGGTAAGAGGCAGTTTCCAGTTTGGGGAGCCTGAAAGAATAGTTGCCAAGGGGCTTGAAGGACTCACCGGAAAACAAAAGTTCCACCTGCTCCACGCCCCAGGACATCCTGGGAGTTGAAAGAGATCTTTCCCACCACAGTGATCTGCTCTCCTAGAAGACAGGATGGCAATGGAGTTTCACTCCTACCTCTGCCAGCCACTCCTTAGCCCAGTCCAAACCCACCCTCACCTTGACCCACCTTCCTCTAGATTTCCACCCAGCCTGGTCCCCTGGGTGAGAGGGAGGCCCATGGAATGGGAGTGGGCCTCATGGTTCTGGTGCCTGGTGCTACCTGGGCTCATAGATGTGTCTATAGGCGAGTGACTGAGACACGATCATTTCCCAACATGGAAAGCAGGACAAATGTCCACACTGCGGTTGTGTGAGAATTGATGAATACATGGTTGGTTAACCCCTACCTCCGCCCTTGTAACTGGGTCATTTTGAGGTTCAGTTGGCTGCACACAGGAAGTTAACTGGCAGCTGGAAGCTGCTGGCTCACACCTGTCATCCTGTCTACTTGGGAGGCAGAGATGAGGATCTCGGTCCAGGTCCATCTGGGCATGGAGAGATTCTATCTCAACCACAGCAGCTGGGCCCTAGTGGCTCACGCCTGTATATTTAGCTACTCAGGAGACTGAGAGCTGAGAATCAAGGTTCGAAACCATTCCAGGCAGGAAAATCGATGAGACTCTCCAAGTAATAAGCAAAAAGCTAGAAGTGGACCTGTGCTCAATTGGTAGAGTGCTAGGCTTGAGCAAAAAAAAAAACCCTCAGGGACACTGCCTAGGACCTGAGTTCAAGTCCCAGGACGGGCACAAGAACAAAGGATTATAATGAGCTCACCATCAGGATCGCAGGATGGCAAAGCTTGCTCTGAGGGGGTTTGAACCTTCTTCTGGCCCTGCGATGTGGTCTTCGAGGGCTGGGCCTGAGCATCCTTCAAGATGTCAGGAGGGCCTGCAGGTGCTGAAGGCTTCTGGGGCTGCTTCTCTGCCAGCTGCTGCCGCTATAATGCAAAGGCTTAAGAGAGCCCCGCCTCCACTAGGCCAGCCCATTGATGGGCCCTACACCTGTGCTTGTGATGGCCTCGCACTGGAGCCTGAACTTACAGAGCACAGGAGCCAGAGCTTGGGGAAGATCTCGGGAAAGGCATGGAGGGGTTGTCAGGGTAGGTGGGGGAAAGACTTGCTAACCAGTCTCTGAGAGAGAAGCGTTCCTGTAGACCCTGCCAAGGCGTCCTGAGCTCAGGGGATGGGCTTACCTGTCTGATCAGGACGAGAAGCCAACCTCCCAGGAGCACAGCAGTGAGCACTGTGGTCAGCACATCTTGGGGTACCAGTCCTGGAGAGGGATCTGGGCTGTTTTCTTTAGGATGCAGCTCTGGCTCCCCAGGCTCCTCGCGGTTCAGGCCCAAGAGCTGGGGACAAAGGCATCCACTCTTGGTTTTCCCTCCTGCCATGAATCCCCCTCCCCTCCACACACACACACACACACACACACACACACACACACACACACACTAGTTGTTCATCACCCAGTCTAGGGTGGGGCTTGGTGGGGAGGTTGGGGAGGGGAGGAGAGGGTCTGCACTGGGTCTCCATGATACTGAAACATGATGGCTGGGTGGGTGGTGTGCCAAATCTAGCAAAGAATCACATCACTAGAAGCACAGATGTTCCTATAATAATAACAATAATAATATAGGTCTCCAACCCTAGAGATTCAGAATTTGGCAGATCTGGTAATTCTCATGAGTAATCATACTTAAGAATGATTGTTCTCAGACAGAGTTGTTCATTTGTGTGTGTGTGTGTGTGTGTGTGTGTGTGTGTGTCTACGTAGCTTTGAACTCAGAGTTCAACCTCTCACTTGGTGTTTTCACTCAACACTGGCACTGTACTATTTGAGGTACAGCTCCACTTCCACCTTTTTGCAGGTTCATTGGAGACAAGTCTCCAGGACTTTGCTGCTGAGACTGGCTTTGAACCTCAATCCTTAGACCTGAGCCTCCTGACTAGCTAAGATGACAGGGATACATCAACCAGCATCCAGCTATGGCTCTTCCTTCTAAACTTGAACTATTTACTAGTGTTTCCTATCCAGCCCAGTCCCAGGAAAGCGTATCTGGATAGAGGTTTTTCTGTTTTCAATTTCTCCTTTGATGACTATTTTGCAGTGTTTACACTAACAAAGAATAAAAAAAAGAAAGAACCATGAGCCATACTTCACAATGCAGATAGTTTTTTTGATGTTGGTCCTGGAGCTTGAACTCAGGGCCTGGGTACCATCCCTGAGCCTTTTTTGCTCAAGGCTACCACTTTGAGCTGTGGCTCCACTTCTGGTTTTCAGATTGCTCATTGAAGATAAGAGTCTCATGGACTTTCTTGCTCAGGCTGGCTCTGAATTGCAATCCTCCGATCTCAGCCTCCTGAGAAGCTAGGATTACAGGTATGAGCCACCGGCACCTGGCTCCAAGATCCATTTTGGGTATTTCTAACACTTTGGACAGTCACAAAGAACAAAATATTTGTTCTTTGAGAACTGATGGAGTTCAAGTGACCCAGCACTTAGTGGCTGGAGGCAAGGCTGAAGAGCTGCCCCTCCCACTCCCAAGACAGACTCCTCCCCCATGCCCTGTAACCTATGGTGCTGACCTGCAAGAAGAGAGCTGGTGTTTGGCTTTTCTCTGGGGGTCTTGTCCTTGGGGTTGGCCGGACCCTCAACATGGTAGTATGTAGGACTGGGGGTGGTTCATGGTGTCCTTAATGGCAGGTACAAAAATCAGAGGGTAGAGAATGACTTCAGCATTCCAACTCAGACACAGGCGCCCAGAACCTGGGTCTCAGGACCTCACCAATGAGCAGCCACTGGCTAGGGAGGGCCACGCTGCCCGAGGGGTATCTGACCGCCGTGCTGGGGAAGCCCTTTCGCTCTCCTGAGACTTGGAGTGTCACCTCATCGGTGGTAGGGCCGTCTGCGGGGGCCAGGGTCAGTCCACGAGGCTGGGGCAGAAGATGAACAGCCATGGGTGACAAGGACTTCTCTCCCACCCCACCCCTCTTTCCAGATCATTTGGAGACCCTGGCTCACCACGAGGGCCACACCCGTGTGGACTAGTGCTTTTGAAACGTAGAAACCAGCTTCATCTTTCCCCACATACAGTGTCATCCTGATGGAGGAGAGAAGAGAAAAGGATGAGTAATGATGTGGGGAGGGGGCTTTAATTTGATACCTGGTTTCCTTTCATAGTGACTTTAGGCTGGTCAGGTGACTTGCCTCGGCCAATGAGACCGCAGCAAATCTGCTCACCCCAGGAGAAAGCCTAGTTTTTCATAACACATCAGAGACTTTTTATGGTACAGCAATGAGCCAATGTTCAGGCTAAATCAGTCTATCAACTTATCGGGACCATTTGAGATTGTCATCTCTACCAAGTAACCCACAAACCAAAGAGACCAGGAAAACCATCCATTTGACTCACAGAATCTAAAAATATAATCTTCCTTTCTTCTTTTATGCAGTACTGGGGTTTGAGCTTAGGGCCTATTAGCTTTTTCACTCAGAGCTAGAGTTCTACCACTTGAGTCACACCTCCACTTCTGGCTTTTTGGTAGTTAGAGATAAGAATCTCACATGGACTTTTCTGCTTGGCTGGCTTTGAACCGTGTTCCTCAGATCTCAACCTCCTGAGTAGCTAGGATCATAGGCCTGAGCTACTGGCTCTTGATACGGCGTCCTGACACATCCATGTCCCCACCAGACACTGAGAGCCCAGTGAATGGCTGGCACATAGTAAGGGCTCAGCTAATATGTATGGAGCAGATTGAATGAACAGACAACTCTTGATTTCCCAGCCTGTCTGGTACTACAGGGTGCAGGCACTAGACTAGTCAGTGGTATAAGGAGAGGTGACATTTAAAACAGCAATTGGCAATGTGTACTACCTACTGCTCAAGATGGGTTGAGATGTGAAGGCCCTCCTATGTCAAATTTGCTTTGTTCTCTCCCCCCACCCCCTCTCTCTTTTCTGTGATACTGGAGGTTTGAACACAGGGTCTCATACTTGCTAGACAGGTGCTCTACCATTTGAGCCATAACTCCGCCCTTTTTTGCAGACAAGGTTTACTATATAGTCTAGGCTGGTCTCAAACTTGAGATCCTCCTGTCTCAGCCTCCTGAGTGCTGATTTCCAGGTGTGACTACCATCCCTATTATCTGGAACCTGTGAATTTCTGTGAATACTAGGGCTGTCCAGGGTTTGGGGATATATTATCTTGATGCCTAGCTCACCTATTTTTTTTTTTTTTTTAGTATTGGGGTTTGAACTCAGGGCCTCAAGTTTGCTCAGTTTGCTTGGATGACACTCTACCACTTAAGCCATACCTCCAGTCCTGCTTTTTGCTGGTTACTTTGGAGATGGGGGGGTGGGTCTCATGAATTTTTCTGCCTGGGTTAGCCTCGAACCTAGATCATCTAGATTACAGGTGTGTAACTAGGATAACAGCCACTGGTGCTCAGCTTGATTCAAGAATCTTGGCAGCTCATGGCTTCAGTCATCCCTCTAAGCCATTGGGCCTGGGCTGTACCAACTCCACTAACTCCCTCCCTGGGCCCCGCAGACACGGATACCTACAGAAGCTGAGTGTCCAGAGCAGAGAAGTGGGTGGCTGTGTCTGGGGGACCTGAGGCGGGCAGCCGGATGTAGCCCCAGCGGAGAGCGAGGAAGTGCAGGGTGTCTCGAGCCAGGGTGAGATGCGGGAGCTGTCGCAAGCTGTCTCGCTGCCAAGTGTAGACGCCCATCACGGGCATGCCCAAGTCCTGTGTCCACAGCACCGCCCCGCTTCCTGGGTCCACAGTCAGCAGCAGGCCCACCCCGCAGGATGCCAGGTGGCTCACGTCTGCCAAGAAACATGGCTGGGGAGATGTCAGGCAGCTCTGAGAGCTGCAGGGGGCGTCAGGTGAGATCACATTGAAGACAGGGGTTATTCATATGTCGTGGCTCAGGTGTGGAGGGCTTTCCTATAGCCTTACTCTGTGGGAATTCAGCCAATCAGACTGAGAAGCTGAGCCTAGGTCATCGTAGCCAGGAAGTTGTGGGTTATCTGGAATGTGAAAGGACCAGCCATGGCCCCTAGAGATGTCACTGTGATATCTCTGGATCCCGGTATGAGGCTCAGGCCAGAGCCAACGTGTGTGTGTGTGTGTGTGTGTGTGTGTGTGTGTGCATGCTTGAACTGGGGACTTCCCTCTTTTGCTTGGCTTACTGGCTCAAGGGTGGTGCTTTACCACCTGAGCCACACTTCTACTTCCAGCCTATTTTTTTGTGCTGCTCCTGAGGCTTGAACTCAGCGCCTGGCCACTGTCCCTGAGCTTCTTTTGCACAAAGCTAGTGCTTTACCACTTGAGCCACAGCTTAACTTCTGGCTTTTTGGTGGGTTCATTGGAGATAAGAGGCTCATGGGCTTTCCTGCCTGGGCTGGCTGTAAACTGAATGCTCAAATCTCAGCCTCCTGAGTAGCTAGGATTACAGGTATGAGCCACTGTGCCCAGGTTTTTGCTGGCTAACAGCAGGTAAGAGTTTCTCAGAAGGGGTGACATTACACAAGAAGAAATATACTCTTTACCTGACTTATGTAAATGTAACCCTTCTGTACATCACTTTTATAATAACAATAAACATTAAAAAAAGAGTTTCTCAAATTGGTTTGCCAGGGTGGTTTTGATACTCAACCCTCAGATCTCAGGCTCTTGAGTAGCTAGGATTACAGATGTGAGCTGCCCTTGGGAAGATGGGGGTGGACAGGTCACTTGGAAAAGTCATTTTGGGAAAAGGTCACTTAAAGTCAGGTACACAGGTCATTCAGCCTGTCAGTACAATTATAGGAGCTGTGGAGGTTGCTCAGGATGTGAAGGGGGGGGGTCACCCACCCAAGATCACAATGGAGTCCAGAGGAGTCAGGATGCTGTGGGGCGAAGAAGGTAAGCCTTGGGAGTCACCTGGTGGGGGCATGGTCACTTGTTGGGGGCGTGGTCTGGGTAGATGGGGGGCGGGGCCTTGGTTGTGGATGTCACTCAGGGCCTTCTGGGTGGGAGATCTTGCTCTGTGGTGGGGATCAGAGGAAGGTGGTACTCACACTTTCCAGGCAGGTCATCCACGGGGAGTGCCGAGTAGCGGCGGTAGGTGGTATTCCAGCGCAGGGCCGGGGCTCTGGGGTCGTGCATGGTGACAGTGTATTCTGGGGGACCCCCAGAAGCAAGATTGTTAGGAACACATGTGTGGGGTCCCCCCCAGTCCCCTACCTCCCTCAGGATCATTCATCTTGTGGGGATGGGGATGGGTCTTTCCTAGTACCCGGCCTGCTGACTGACTGTTACAATGGCAGAGACCAGGCCTGAGTTGCTTATTGCTGTTTCTTGCCCCATCCCAGCCTCTTGTTGTTTTGTCCATCATGGGGCTTGAACTCAGGGCCTGGGCACTGTCCCAGAGCTCTTTTGCTCAAGGCTAGTGTTCTACCACTTTGAGTCACAGCTCCACTTCCAGTTTTCTGGTGGTTCGTTGAAGGTAAGAGTCTCATGGACTTTCTTGCCTGGGCTGGTTTTGGACCAGGATCCTTAGATCTCAGACTCCTGAATTGCTAGGATTAATGGTATGAGCCCCCAGCACTTGGCTACCGCAGCCTCTTTGTCCAGTGCTTGGTAAGATTAATACTCTGGACTCTGCTTGAAGAGCAATTATCAGGGCTGGGAAGGTGGCTCAGTGGTAGAGTGCTTGCTTCGCATGCACGAAGCCCTGGGTTCAATTCCTCAGTGCCACATACACAGAAAAAGCCAGAAGTGGTGTTGTGTCTCAAGTGGTAGAGTGCTAGCCTTGAGAAAAAGAAGCCCAGGGACAGTGCTAAGGCCCTGAGTTCAAGCCCCAGGACTGGCAAAACAAAAACAAAAGAAAAAACCATCAATTTTCAGTCCTGAGCTGAGAAAAAGTGAAGGGGAGAGCTGGGAAGTGGCTCAGTGGTAGAGTGCTTGCCTTGCATGCCTGAGGCCCTGGGTTCGATTCTTCAGCAGAAAAAGCTGAACGTGGCACTGTGGCTCAAGTGGTAGAGCGCTAACCTTGAGCTGAAGAGCTGAGAGACAGTGCCCAGGCCCAGAGTTCAGGCCCCATGACCGACCCTCCCCCCCAAAAAAAAACATAGTGAAGGGGGCCTAGCCAAGTGCCAGTGGCTCATGCCTATAATCCTAGCTACTCAGGAGGCTGAGATCTGAGGATTGCAGTTCAAAGCCAGCCTGGGCAATAAAGTTAGTGAGACTTGTAACTCCAATTAACCACCAAAAAGACAGAAATGGAGCTGTGGCTCAAGTGGTAGAGTACAAGCCTTGAGCAGAAAAATAAAAAAAAAGCCGAGGGACGGCGCCTAGACCCTGAGTTTAAGCCCCAGGATCAGTACACACACAGAGAAAATGGCGAGGGGTCACCCAGAACCCGGGGAGCATCCTGGGAGGAACTCACGAGTCCGGCCAATGTAGAGGCGGGGGGTGGAGAGACCCTCTGTGGTCAGTGTCATCTGCGTCTCCCCCGACTCAGGATCCACCACAAACCAGGCATCCTGCTTCCGGCCTGTGGAGGAGGAGAGTCTGCCAGCCTTCAAGATAGCATGGAGAGGGCACATGTCTTGTTGCTCCCTAGCTGGCACAGCATGACCCAGGCCATTGTCTCTGTGGCTTGGGCCTGGATCCCACAGGCTGGAGAGATGCTCACCTGTGTAGAAGACCCCATCGGAGCTGCGGCAAGGAGAGGCATGAACCAGCTCCGGGATGGTGAACGGCAGTTTCTAAGGGGAGGGAACAGGCCCAGGAAGGAGTCAGAGCACACACATGCACCAGTGTTCCTTGGGAAGGCTCAGGATTATTTCCACTTTCCAGATATGGAACTTGGAGCTCAGAGAGGCTAAGTAACTCAGGTAAGGTCACACAACCAGTGAATGGAAGAGCCAGTTTTGCAACCCAGGGGGACAGGTTTCAGAATCAGGATACTTAACCACTTTGCTACACATCTCTTTGAGGAACTGCAGAAAAATCTCACACTCAGTGCTAAGATGCCATGGATTTCACTTGATCCCTGCCCAATGACCTTCTCAAAATCACAGAGATATTGTTGGATGCCGGTGGCTCACACCGTCATCTTAACTACTCAGGAGTCTGAGATCTGAGGATCACAAATTGAAGCCAACCCTGTCAGGAAAGTCCCTGAGACTCTTATCTCTGATAAACTACTCAGAAAAAGACAGAAGTGGTGCTGTGGCTCAAATGGTAGAGTGCTAGCCTTGAGCAAAAGAAGCTCAGGGCCAGTGCCCAGGCCCTGAGTTCAAGTCCAGGACTGGCCAGAAAAAAAAATCACAGAGATATCAAAACTGTTTATTATGGGCTGGGTGTCCATGGCTCAGGTTTATAATCCTAACTACTCAGGAAGCTGCGACCTGGAGGATTACAATTTGAAGTTTAGTTAGGGCAGAAAAGTCTGAGACTCTTTTTTTTTGCCAGTCATGGTGCCTGAACTCTGGGCCTGGGCACTGTCCCTCAGCTCTTCAGCTCAATGCTAGTGCTCTACCACTTGAGCCACAGCACCACTTCCAGCTTTTTCTGCTTATGTGGTGCTGAGGAATCGAACCCAGGGCCTCATGCATGCAAGGCAAGCACTCTATCCACTGAGCCACCTTCCCAGCCCCAGTCTGAGACTCTTATATCCAATTAATTAGCAAAAAACCAAAAAGTGGAGGTGTGGCTCAAGTGACAGAGTGCCAACCCAAGAGTGTGAGGCCCTGAGTTCAAGCCCCAGGACTGACACAAAACAAAAATAAAAACCCAAATAAAACCTGCCAATGGCCACTCAGAAAAGGTGAGGAGATGCTCCCGGATACAGGAGACCCTGGTTGGGTGAGGTGAGTGGAGATCCCACCCCCTCACTTTTTTTTTACCCTATGGGAGCAGAGTCAGGCCTGGGAGGGTTTTGTGATTGGATCACGATCATGGGGAAAGGCTAGGATCAGGGTCTAGAAGCTCTGTGGTCACCAGGGACAATTTGGCTTTCACTGCTATCTGTATTATTTATGTATTTATTTATTTTGTGCCAGTCCTGGGGCTGGAACTCAGGGTCTGGGTGCTGTCTCTCAGCTATTTTTTTATTTTTTAGGTTTTTGCTGAAGGCTAGCACTCTGCCACTCGAGCCATAGCTTCACTTTTGGCTTTTTTGGTGGTGAATGGACAAGTGTATCACTAACTTTCCTTTCTGGGCTGGCTTCAAACCTCAGTCCTCAGATCTAAGCTTCCTGAGTAGTTAGGATTACAGGCATGAGCCACTGGCATGTGGCCACGTTCTTTGGATTTTTGAGCCTTTGAGTTTGGGGACAGTTGGTTATTTAGCAAAAGCTGACTGACACGTAGAGTTTCCCCTTCATACCCCTCAGAGTTCTCGAGAAGCATTTCCCCCTTGCAATCCCTTCAGAGGCTTGCTTTGCGGACCCAGCCAGACCTGCTCCCTCTCTTCTCCCCCTTCCCCTGGTCGTGGGGCTTGAACTCAGGGCCTGGGTACTGTCCTTCAGCTCTTCAGCTCAAGGTGAGCACTCTACCAAGTGAGCTACAGCACCACTTCCGGTTTTCTGAGTGGTTTATTGGAGATAAGAGTCTCACGGTCTCTCCTGCCCAAGCTGGCTCTGAACCATAATCCTCAGATCTCAGCCTCCTGAGTAGCTAGGATTACAGGCGTGGACCATGGCATCCCTACCCCCTATGGACTGCTAACAGACATCCCTCCTGCCATGTGCAAAACACCTGTCTCTGCCCATATTGGTCCATGCTGCCCCTTGGAGTGTGGCCCACCCCAAAGCACTATGGGAAACATACCATTAACCCCTGCTGCTTCTGGTTTCCCAAGATGTACAGGCTGCCATCTGCTGGGTCTGAGAGAAAGGCCGTTCTGTGGGGAAGAGAAGAGCACAGAGAAGATGGGGTACGCACCCCTGGTTTCATGGGGTCCCCACCCCTCTACCCTCTCAGCTACTTGAACCTGTCATGGTGGGAGACAGCTTAGAACAGCAAGATCCTGTCCCATAGTGCATCTGCATGAATCGTTTCTCTTACCTCCAACATGCATCCCCCAAACCTTTCCAGATCACAGCGACTCCCCCATCTCCAGCGGCCCCCTCCCTCTGAAAGACTCCGAGTTCACTTACTCTGTGACATACATGGGTCCGTGGATGATGGCCTCTGCAGGGGACATGGACACAGAATGAGTCCTTCTAGACCTTCATTGATTGTTTCTGCCATGTGGCAGACCCCCAAACCCCCACAGGTGACAAAGATTCAATGTCATCCTTCCAAGAGGTAGGGTCATTCATTACCCTTGGCCCCATTTTACAGGTAAAGACAATAAGGCTCAGAGAGGCAGAGTGGTTTATCTAAGGCCTCACAGCTGGTAAGGGGTAAAGCTTTCCACAGGCATTGGCTTGTTGGTTTCCAATGCTATGTTGTTACCTGACACACACATCCACCCCACCCCCCTTCACCAAACTAGGGAGCCAAGGAGAGAACCAACCATTCCTCACCCACCGTCTTTCAGCGTCCACATCAAGTCCCCTGTCTGCTTGCTCAGTGCGTGGAGACTTCCATCCAAGGTGGACACAAACAGGAGGTTCTCTGGCCTGAGGGGCTGGACCTGGGGTGGTTAGCAACATCAGCTCTGGGTTGAAGAGCATTTTGCCCCACCCCAGGCAGGATGATGTGACACCCCCCCTCTTCTCCCAGAGTGGGACAGAGAAGAGGAAGGAAGATCAGAGACACTGCTGTCCTCCCCCCCCCCCATCATCATCATCATCTTGTTTTTTTTTTTTTTTTTTTTTTTTTTTTTTTTTTTGCCAGTTCTGGGGACTGAACTCAAGGCCTGGGCGCTGTCCCTGAGTTTCTTTTGCTCAAGGCTAGTGTTCTACTACTTGAGCCACAGCACTACTACTTCTGGCTTTTTCTGTGTATGTGGTACTGAGGAATTGAACCCAGGGCTTCATGCATGCTAGGCAAGTACTCTACCACTAAGCCACATGCCTAGCCAAGCCTGCCTCTTTCTAGATCACCTTTTCTCTTGCTCCAAACTGGCTCTGCAGCTTTTGCTGCCAGGCTCCCCTGGTGTCCCTGGACCACAGCTGGGGGCAAGGGGGGAGGAGGGGTGACAGAGGAAGGAGAAAGGAGAAAGGAAGGGAGGCAGGGCTCCCCCATGCTGGGCCAACTCACCAACTCGGGCCTCTCCTTGAGCAAACAGGGCGAGGCTTCTACTCACAGCAGGAACCCTGATATCCGGGTGGCCTTGCTGTACCCCTTCAGAGACCACATCCTGCTTTGGGACCCTCAACTTTAGGGCTGAGCCAAGGGTGGCTGGTGAGAGCCAGGGTGCCACCTTCTAGACCCTTCTTGTTTCTGAGACTCAGTTTTGCCATCTGTAACTGGGCAGGTAAGACCAGCCTGAGACGAGATTGCTGCATAGGTTGAGCAGCAGGGTTGACATTTTTATTTTTGTCTTTTAAACATTATCTTTAATGTTTTAAAAAACAAATCCAGGTTTTTCTAATGGCGCTCATTTCTCAGGAAACACTTATCATGACTTGGTCACCATGGATGAGCTCAGAGGGGCTGGGAGGGGCTTGGTGGACACCTTAACTCTCCCACTGGCCCTTTAGCTCCTGGGGGGTTCTAAAGGCCGGACGTTCATGCTGTCGGCTGGTCGACTTGTGTCCCTCAGCTTGCCTCTCTGTAAGTGAGGTCTGTTCAGCCTGGGGAGAACTGGATTCCTTACACTTGAAGTTCGTTTATCCCAGAGCTTCTGAACTTGGTGATGTGTGTGTGTGTGTGGGGGGGTCCCTTTGTGAGTGAGGGGAGATGCATTTTCCCATGGGGGATCCTTAAGTTGATTTTCTTTTTTAAGGTGAGCAAATGAGACCGTTATATTCATTGTATATTATGTAAAAGTTGAACTACATAATGAGGGGAGGAGGGGAATGAGGGGAAATGACGGAAGGGTGACATTGATCAAGATAAATTGTATTGTATCTATAACCTGACTTATGGATTGGAACCTCTTTATTACACACACACACACACACACACATTTACTGGGGATTGAACTCAGCAACTCCATTTTGCTCTACCCAATGAGCCACACTCCCAGCTACATTTGATCGCATTTTTAAAGCAAGTTGGAGCCCTCACCCCAAGACATTCTAAGAGTCCTGGCTTTACTGCTAGGATGCCCCTCCCGCCTCAGCTTCCGCAGGGGAGGTGGCTGATCTGTTCTACTTGCAGCTAGCTATGCCTGGCACGGCTGCCCAGCTAGACAGTGTGAGGGACGGGGCAACAATCCCGCAAACTTAGCTTTCCACCCGCCAGGAGACAACCTGGAGCAACCCGGGGAGCCAAGGGAAGGAGGATGGGAGGGAGAGGACACCCCACTGCCTGGCTGCACCCCGGTCCCTCAGCTGGTCCCAGGCCCCTGTGCCTGGCTGACTGACCCCGAGCTCCCAGCTCTCACCTGTGTCGCCAGCATCCCCAGCAGCGCTGCCATCTGCAGCCAGAGCTCCCTTGGGGTCCACAGCCGCCACCCCTGAGCTGCTCTCCCCATGGCACCGTGGGCAGTGGCACCCGGATGGCCAGGTGTTGGAGCCACCTGGGGACCGCGTAGACCCCGCCCGACCCGGAGCTGACTCCACCCTGGGCTGGGCCAGAGTCTTGGGTGGAACCTCAGGCTACGATGATCCCGCCCTTCCCATCACACACCCTCCATCCCTGCCACCTGGTCTGCCCCAGGGCCAGCACTGGGCAATGCTGGGGAAAGGATGGACTGTAGATTCCTCTGTTTGGATAATTCAGACTACAGTGAGAGTGGCAGCCAAGTTCCTGCTCCAGGCGGGCTTCATGGGCTCCATATAGGAATGTTTGCCCAGCTTTCTGAAGAATTTCAGTTCATCCATTTCCCCCCCACCACCCCCTTCAACCCTATATAAAACATGTCCTGCCTAAACCAGACACTGGTGACTTGAGCCTGTAATCCTAGCTACTCAGGAGGCTGAGATCTGAGGATCCCTGGTTCAATATCAGCCTAGGCAGAAAAGTCTGTGAAACTCACCTGTGATTAACCACCAAAATGCCAAAAGTGGAGCTGTGGTTCAAGTGGTAGAGCACCAGCCCCAAGTGGAAAATCTAAGGGAGAGTGAGAGGCCCTGAGTTCAAGCCTCAGTATGGCACAAAACCAACGAACCAACCCCTGTTGATCTGAGAGTTATGCTGCCTGGCCCTGCCCCTTCGCCCCCTTTTCTTTGTCCTCCATGCTCCCCCTAGTGACACTCCCCCAGCTGATAGCTGGCCCATAGCTTTCATCTATACCTAATATACCCGTCATTGACAATGACATCGTCAGTAGTGGCCACTGGGGCTGCCCAGCAACGCATGGCTGAGCCCTGGACCATGCCACATTCAAATAGATCATTCTTTTTTTCACTTATCATATTGACCCCTTCATGCATCTTATATTTTTACATTCCTCCCACCCCCAGGATCTTATTAGAGTGGTGTTACCTGCAGCAAAAGGAGATGAGGGAAAGACAGTGCAGGGAAAGAGCCAAACAAGAATGGGGTCCCAGAGCTGGGAATGTGGCTTAGTGGTAGAGTGCTTGCCTCGCATGCATGAAGCTCTGGGTTTGCTTCCTCAGTACCACATAAACAGAAAACGCTGGAAGTGGCACTGTGGCTCAAGTGGGAGAGTGCTAGCCTGGAGCACAGAGGCTCAGGGACAGAGCTCAGGCCCTGAGTTCAAGTCCCAGGACTGGCAAAAAAAAAAGACAAACAAAAAAGAATGGTGTCCCAGCCAGATGCTAGCGACTTATGTCTGTCCTCCTAACTACTTAGGAAGCTGAGATCTGAGGATTACAGTTCAAAGCCAGCCCAGACAGGAAAGTCTGTGAGACTCTTATCCTCAATAAAGGACCCAGAAAAAAGCTAGAAGTGATGTTGTGGCTCAAGTGGTAAAGCCACTAGCCTTGAGCACAGAATGGCACAGGAATGGAGTCCAGGTCCTGAGTTCAAGGACTGGCAAAAAAAAGGGAGTCTTAGCTGATCTGGCAGGAGAAGGGGCCAGCTATTGTTCTTCCTTTGTGGTAGCCCCTGGCCAGGCTTCACCTAGGGGTGAGCTTTGATCTCCCAGGCAAAGCAGATTTCCAGCATTAAGGGTGATTCTGAGAGAATCACTCTTAGCAGTTAACTCAGCCCCCCATGAAGGGATCCATGTGATCTAGCAACAGGATCTACCACAATCAGGGATCTTCATTTTCTGGTCTGCTTCTCCAACCCAACAGAACATTCTGGAAAGATGTCACCGGCACATTGTCTTCACTCCCATTCCTGGATCTGTGGATGCCAGCGAGGTCACCATTGACCATGTTCCACGCTGTCCTTATGGCTAGTTCATCTCCATTCTCAAATTCCTTTCTGAGACTGGCCCCCTCAATCATTCATTCCCAAAGTCCTTCCAAAGTGTTTTGGCTACAATGAGCCCATTATACAGGATATCCCTCCCCCCTGCAATTCCTTCACCTCCCACCTCTGACTAGCAGCTCAACTCCAGCCACCCCAGCCTCACCACCTTTGTTAGGGGTGTGATGTGCCTAGCTTTTTGCATGGGACCTGTTAGTGCAATGAGCTCCCTTCCCATAGCTTAGTCCACTCCTTCCCCTCTCCACAGCTTAGCATGCTCCCTTCCTTGGCAACAGCAGGCCCATGTAGTAAAGGCAGTAAATAATGAACTTCCAGCTCCCTCTACCTTGGGATGACACTTCTCTGGGGCAGCTACCACCATCTAAGACAACAAGAGCCCCTTAGAGTGACCTTCAGGTCCAGGCAGCTGCAGGACCCCATATCTACTATTTGCACAGCAGCCATAAATCCTAGTCTGCCATGAGGAAGCCCCTGGCCCACAGGTCCATACCAGGGTCTCTGCCTCCTAGCCCCTTCTACCCCTCCTAAACCTCCAGGTTATCTAACCTCAGACAATAGCTGGTGCTTCTTCTCATCCCTCCCTCTCCTGGCAATAAACCTTTGTTCTCTGTAACTGGCTGTCTGCATGGTTCTCTGGCAAAGTATAAGTCATCTAACTGAGCGAACACAACCCCTTTTGGGCTTCCCCTGGGATGATACTAATGTCTACAATTGACAATAAAAACCAAAAATAAAACGTAATCATCAGGTTCCCTGAACCTCTGAATGAAGAGAACTCTGGAGACTTTTATTAGGGAAGGAAACTGAGGCTCACAGAGGTTAAGCAATATAACCTAGGGGACTAGCAGGGGTGGAGTAGGGACAATATTCAATATCCAGATTCTAGGGTCTAGCCTGATTCTAGGGTCCTTACTCCTGAGTAAAACATCCCAATGTTATCTAATAGGATGGCAATTTGACCCAATTCTCTTTTGGGTTCTTTGTTCCAGATGAAGCAGATACCTCCAAGAGCCTGGCAGGCCACATGACAGACCACCTAGACCAAGTGGGCACTGTGGCAAAGCTGAGGGGTGTGGTCTGTGCTGTAGACATCCTTGGCCAGATCCTTTCTTTCCTTAGCTCCTTCCCTGGCCCTGTCCTGCCCTCCCCACCACCCTGCTGTTCCTACAGAACCTTTCCCCAATTCTTACCCCCCCTATCTTGGAGCAGAGTACTTGTCTCAGGCCAGAACCAATCTAAAATAGTAATCTAACTGCCTCAAAACACAGTGTGTGTGTGCGCGCTTGTGTTGGAACTTGAACTCAGGGCTTAGGCGTTGTCTCTTAGCATTTTTTTTTACACGAGGCTAGGGCTCTACCACTTGAGTTATACCTCCACTTCCAGCTTTTAGCTGGTTAGTTGGAGACAAGAGTTTCATGGACTTTCCTGATCCAGTTAGCTTCAAATCCTGATCCTCAGCTCTCAGCTCCTTGAGTAGTTAGGAATACAGGTGTGAGCCACAGGTGCCTGACACAAAAGCCTTCTTTAGACATATTTAAACCAGGGACTGGGAAGGTAGCTCCATGGTAGAGTGCTTACCTAATATGCATGAAGCCCTGGGTTTCATTCCTCAGTATCACATAAACAGAAAAAGCCAGAAGTGGTACTGTGGCTCAAGTGGTACAGCACTAGTCTTGAACAAAAGAAGCTCAGGGACAGTGCTCAGGCTCCAAGTTCAAGCCCCAGGACTGGCAAAAAAAAAAAATTACACCATGGTTCTATAGCTCAATTGAGTGTCTGTAGCTCACATTTTATGAAGAACTATAGGAAATAATACAAAAGTCTAAATATTAAAAAGTGTTGTTCCAGGCACTGGTGGCTCATACCTGTAATCCTAACTATTCAGGAGTCTGAGATTTGAGGATCATGGTTCGTAAGTAGTCAGGGTAGAATATGAGACTCATATCTCCCACCAGTTAAGCCAAAAGCCACAAAAGAGCAGTGGTTCAAGAGGTACAGTCCCAGATTTGAGTAAAAAAGCTAAGAAACAGCACCCAGGCCTTGAGTTCAAACCCCAATACCAGCACAAGAAAGAGAAAAATATTAATAGGAACACAAATTCCATTCATGGTTGCATCTTGGGGAAGCAGAGCATCTGCATTCATGTTCTGCCATGTGTCCTCTGTCCCCCACATCTAGCAAGTTCCTCTGTTGAAATATTAACCTGTTTTTCTTTCTGTCTGCTGCAGCTTCCTTTTTCCCCTGCAGACTTCTTTCATTCAAGAGAGGCTGCTTTGATTTCCTTCCCCAGGGAGGGGTGAAGAAGCAGAAAGAGAGAAAGTGTTTTAGCTTTTGAGTTACAAAAAAACTCAGGGTGTGAACTTAGAAAGAATAATAATGCTACTGGAAAAGATCCCTTGGCTTGCAGAGAAATAATAAAGCTGAGTACAGATGGCTCCTGCCTGAAACGCTCACTACTTAGAAAGCTGAGATCTGAGGATCAAAGTTCAAAGCCAGCCTAGGCAGACAAACAGGTGAGACTCTTATCTATAATTAACCAGCAAAAAACTGGAAGCGAAGGTGTAGCTCAAGTAGTAGAGTGTCAGCCCAGGACTGGCAAAAAAAGAAGAAAAAAAAGGAAAAGAACCTTTTCCTTTCCCTTCCCTTCCCATCCCTTCCCTATTCCTTTTGGGCAGAGCAGTACTGGGGTTTGAACTCTGGGTCTTGTGATTTTTACTTAGGCATTCTACCACTTGAGCCAATCTGCCAGCTGCCAGCTCTCTCCCTCCCCTCCCCTCCCCTCCCCTCTCCTCTCCTCTCATCTCCTCTCTTTCCCCGCCCTCTCTCTTCGTGAACTTGGGGCCTCGAGTGCTTTCCCTGAGCTTCTGTGCTCAAGGATAGTGCTCTACTACTTAAACCACAGCTCCACTTCAAGCTTTTTGGTGGTTAATTGGAGATGAGTCTCTGATGGACTTCATGTTGGGGCTGGCTTGGAACCCTGATCCTAGGATCTCAGTGACCTGAGTAGCTAAGATTACAAGTATAAGCCACTGACACCTGACTGTGTTGGTTATTTTATTTTTTGGGTCTGGTTGTGGGGCCTCAACTCTGGGCCTGGGCGCTGTCCTTCAGCTCTTCAGCTCAAGGCTAGCA